CGAATGGGGAGCTAGCCTGCAACCTGGGCATAAGCCCTGGCCAGAATTTGAGTCATGACCTCCTGGCTCTTAGGTCGATACTCAACCACAGAGTCATGCTGGCCGGGCTTATTTCTCTATTTCATTATATATATATTTATATATTTTTTTTGAGTGTAAGATTAAGTTATATTTTTGTATGATTTAAATGTGTGGTTTTTTTCTAATTTTTCAGACACCAGTAAATGTTTAATATAGCATACACCCTGGGAAAGAAAGCATTACTGTTACTAGTATTAAATAATATATTACTTCATTATTATCATTATTATTAATTTATGACCCAGAATATTGAACTAGCTCTCAGACTTGAGACTTGTATTCTATGAAATCAAGATTGGAATTCTTTAGCTTTGAAAACCCTTTCCAATTCCAACATTTGGAGATCAAGTAATATCTAACACTGATTCTAGATTATATACTTTATTCTTATCATGTAAAATATATAAAACCTGAGGTGAATAGTGTTGAAGTTATTCTTGTAATATTACAAAGAAGAAGTTGTTTGCCATCTGTCAGGGAGAAGAGAGTATTAGAGTTTCAAACTCTATGAGCTTAGAAACTAAATATATTAAAAAACAAAACAAAACACTAAACAACATGGTAAGTACTTTTTCTGTACTAAACAAAAAATTATATTCACCTGTTCTAAGATATGCATTTTGAATAGTTTTATAGTCGATGGTTAGTTGCAATCATTGTCTACCATTTGGCAGTTGTTATGTAGCGACTATATTTTAAGCTGTGTGAACATGGCCGTGGCTGTTCATATAGTCATGCTTCAATGAAGTTTTGTGTGCTGATTATACTACATATGTAGAATTGTCATCTGACATTTCTTCAGATAGATGACAATAAGATTCTGTTGGGGGGAAAAGTTATTGTCTGAAAAGAAAGGTAAGGAGATCACAACAAGAAGTAAAATTCTATGATGAAGCAAATATTTATTGTTAGAACAATTCTGTATTTTCTTGCTAGTCAATAGCTGACTGATTTATATAACTTTGCTTCTTATCATGTCTATCAGGGATCAACAGAGGGAATATCACTAGAGATCTTATTAGAAATACAGAAACTTGGGCCAATCCCAGACCTACCAAATCACAATCTGCATTTTCTCAGGATTCCAATTTAATTCCTTCACACTTTAAAGTTTGAAAACACTTTACAGTACCAAGGAAGATACACAAAAAACATGAAGCTGATTTCATATTTTGTTATTGAGATAAGTGCTAATGATGTCTTTCATATGTTAAGCAATACAACCTAAAGCAAAGAGAAAACCCTTAGAATAGATGGCAGATGATTAATGGCCATGACGTTGAGTGTCTTTTCAAATGTCTATTGGCCATCTGTATGTCCTCTTTGGGATGAGAATGCAGACTGGTACAGCCACTGTAAAAAAAACAAAAAAACAACACTATGGAGTTTCCTCCAAAAAGTAAAAACGGAACCACCTTTTGAGGTGAATAGTGTTGAAGTTGTTCTTGTAATATTACAAAGAAGAAGTTGTTTGCCATCTAGTGATCCCACTTCTGGGAATCTATCCAAAGAAACCAGAACACTAATTTGAAAGAATATATGCACCCCATTGTTCATTGAAGCATTATTTACAATTAGCCAAAATTTGGAAACAGCCAAAGTGCCCATCAGTAGATAAATGGCTTAAAAAGCTGTGGTACATTTACACAATGGAATATTACATGACAATAAAAGAGAAGGGAATCTTTCTTACCTTTTATGACATCAGGAATACACCTAGAGAACATTATGCTAAGTGAAAAAAGCCAGTCAGAGAAAGACAAATACCATATGATCTTACTTATATGTGGAATCTAATGAGCAAAATAATTCAACAAACAAAATAGAAGCAGAAACATAGATTACTGTTGTTACTGATTCATTAGCAATAATGACAATATTCATAGAAATTTATGTCCAGCCCTGCTGGTGTTGCTCAGTGATTGAGCATTGACCTATGATCCAGGAGGTCACAGTTTGATTCCCGGTCAGAGTACATGTCCAGCTTGCAGGCTTAATCTTGGGGGCATGCAGGATGTAGCTGATCAATGATTCTCTCTTATCATTGATGTTCTATCCTCTCTCTCCCTTCCTCTCTCTGAAATCAATAAAACATATATTAAAAATCAATGCCCAAACCATTTTAAAAGATTATTCTATGGTATAAGCTTTATTTAAGTGTTAAGTAGATTCTAGTGATAATAAACATTATGTCACAGTTTATTTGAAAAGAATAATTATTTTTTCATTTTTTAGTGGTACCTAAAATTAGGGTGTACCTTACCATAGGTGAAAGAATAGCTTTGATGAAATACAGGCAATAATACCAGTTCAGTGTAACACAAATCTATCAGAAACAATGATTATCCTAGCTCTTGCTGATGCATATATACCATTGCACTTGAGGTAATTAGATAAACTGACATAGAAAATGATTGATGTGTATAACTTAAGAATTATTCTATAATTTTTATTGTTATACAAAGTTTTCTTTGATAAATAACTTCACATGGGAACAAGAGGAATAATTAATAAAAACATTGTCCATATTTTATGTTTATGCTATATTTAATAATGATAGTGTAAAGGTTCTGTAAGTATACATAATAGCTGCATTAATAATAAATTAGGTCAATATAGCTTTGTCACATATTATGAATAAAAAGTTAACATTTGTGAGTGCATTTTTTAACCACAAATAGAAGATGATATGAATAGTTTAGGAAGGTAGATCCAAGTGTCTGCTTTTTATTTTGACCTTTTAAATGATCTATATTAACATGTCATTCATATTTTCTTTGTTGGCATCTAATATAGTGTACAAAAATTGATTTAAATTTCATCACTTTATTATAAATGATACTGAGTAGTCTTTATAGCCTATTATCCTTGGGTTAAAGCCAGTTGTCATTGACTGTTAGATTGCTTTCTGCCTGCATTTCCAGTTTTACTTCTTTATTGATGATGATGATGATGATGATGATGATGATTCTTACCATCCTTTTTCCTTAGCATGCCGAAAGAGATGGGGTGTGATGAGGCTGAAGAATTGAGAGTTGAGGGAAATCATGGAGAGAACCATTCTTACTTATCAGGATGACTTTCTAAGTTGATATAGTGCTGAGCTGCCTGGGGTTACGAGTTAGTTGATGAAGCACATAGAAACTACTTGAATCTTGCTGGCAGAATGGGAAGAGATGACTATGAGTCAAACTACCTTTTTGCACTACATTTTTCTTTTCTTGTATGCCCAATATCATGTATTATGGGTGTTTAATGTTTTACAAATAAATATATGATGAAGGAAATGTATATGCATATAATTTTTAGTTCAAGTATAGGTACATTCTTGTCTGGCTATATTGCAGGAGACTTCACTGAGCAGGTGAAATTTAAACTACTTTAAAAGAAGGTTAAACTATCAGTAGATAGACAATCAGTATTTGTTTTATTATATGCTTTTAACTCCCACATTTTATTGGATTTTTTCGCATTCACCCATGAATGAGACTAATTATAACAATGCTTGTTTTGTGTCATGTATTAAGTTGTTCATGAGTGGCAAGAAATATTGGATTCATTTTATTTGGTGGAATGATTTTATTTCCATAGCTCTTCAGAATATTTTATATGAAAAAATAATTAAGGTAAATAAACTTTAATCTCGCTATGGATACCCAGGGACTTTTTTTTTTTTAATTCTATAATGATGATGTAAAATCACATGACAGAAATGTCTGAATGTTGACAAGTTCGTGGGGGTAAGAAACACCTGCATGTTAAACTTCTGATACTAGTAGAGCAGTATGCATATTATTTATCCAAATGTACCTTTTTTAATTGATTGCCTGAAAAGTAAAATCTGGGTTGCTTTGCAAAAGCAAAGTTAATTTTTTCTTTCAAGACATCGAGTTCTAATAGTAACAACAATTATGGATGCGCTTCAGGCACCAGCAGCATCTGAATAACATGAAAGTTTTCTTAAAAATACAGAATCTATGGCTATATAACCCAGACCTGTTGAATAAGAATGTGCATTTTATTTTATTACTTTTTAATATTTTTAAATTTATTTTAGAGGAAGGGAGAGGGAGAGAGAGATGGAAACATCCATGATGAGAGATAATACTATTAATTAATTGGCTGCCTTCTTTATGCCCCACACTGGGGATTGAACCTTCAACTCAGCATGTGCCCTGACTGGGAATCAAACCCTGACCTCCTGGGTCATAGGTCAATGCTCAACCACTGAGCCATGCCCGACAAGCCAGAATGTGCATTTTAACAGAGCCCCACTTCCATTAAAGTTTGAGAAGTGCTGGTGGCCTATTCTCTGTCCTGATCTCAGATTTGTTTATGTAGCCCTAATTGAGAATCTATACAATACATCCTGGCTCCTGAACTTTTCCAACAAAGGAGACGTGGTTCCTGCCATTCTCAAGCAGAATGGAAAGCATGCATGGCTAGATTTTGGAATAGAAAAATAATCTGTTTCACATGCTTCAAAATTCTGTGGATGTATGCCTTTTCTGTGTTCTCATGACTTTTTGAGCTTTATACAATAATTGTCCTTTTTTCAACAATGAATAAAATTACATCCACTAAATGAATTCAGCTGTCCCTGTTGTACCTGGTCTCCCTGTTGATAGTCTCAGAATGTTATTTTAGCTTCCTTAGACTAGTGGAAATCATGCTGCTTGGTTCCCTGCAGGAATTAAAATGAAATATTAGTAATTGTGCATATTTAATTTTCAAAATACCAACTGATTACTCACAGCATTTGTAAAAAGGAAAATTATTGAGGATGTGCATGAAATATTTCCTTAATAAGGTACCTTTGAAGTCTAAAATTGTGCTATCATGGATATTTTCTTATTCCAGCAATCAGAATAAAAAATGAATTATTTATTAACATATCTTTCTTCTTTTCCCCTTTTCAGATGCAAGACGAAGGTCTATCCTGATGAACTTCCAAACACAAGTGTAGTTATTGTGTTTCATAATGAAGCTTGGAGCACCCTCCTTCGAACTGTTTATAGTGTTATAAACCGTTCCCCACACTATTTACTTTCTGAGGTCATCTTGGTAGATGATGCCAGTGAGAGAGGTATAAATGTTTTTCTCACATATTTTCTTAAGTTAGAACACTTATTATGGTCAAGAAGACAGCTGGGAAATGATCTGTATTTTCCTTGTAATTATACTAACCCTGAAACCACCCCTCATCATCAGTGCATTCCCATCAATGTGTCTAGGCAATCCCAGCTCTAGAGACAAGTAACTAATTATTACAGTTCCTCGCATGATTCCATTGGGTTGTTACTAACCCAGGAAATCTGCCAGAATGACTTTCAAAAGACTTCCTTTTCCCCCCCAACTCAACTGCTCATATGATTGGATATTTATATGACTTTATGATACTTGTCTTTTTTCTTTTTTAGTTCAGGTAAATGCAAAATAACTTACTGAAGGAGCCTGCATGTGCCAGCATGGCTTAGTTTCTCCATTAGAGTTTGACGTGTTAATTTTCTATTTTATCCTTATCTTTGTCAGCCAAGTGACAGGTTTTAATTACTGTACATTAATGTACTCATGAAGTCTCTATCCTTCATGTCACCCACTGCAAAAAAATGTTCACAGGAGTTCACCACCATTTCTGTGTGTTGAGTTTTCATCTGGGCAGTGGTATCACTACGGTGTCTTAAAACAGTTTCAAAACTTCCTGATAAGTTTTTATTGCACGTTACAGATTTTCTCAAGTCGACATTGGAGAATTATGTGAAAAATTTAGAAGTGCCAGTAAAAATTATCAGAATGGAAGAGCGCTCCGGCTTAATCCGTGCCCGCCTTCGAGGAGCCGCTGCTTCCACGGGGCAGGTCATCACTTTCCTGGATGCACACTGTGAATGTACTGTGGGCTGGCTGGAGCCCTTGCTGGCGAGAATAAAGGAAGACAGGTGAGGACTCACGTGTTCTCTCTGCCTGAGTGATGACTGAACCTGCCAGGACAGTGCTGGCTTTCCATCAGAACATCTCCTCCAGGTTGCTATTTTCAGGTGTATTCCTAGCTCTTAAAAACGCTGTCCCCACCTTTCTCACTTAATAGTGCTGAACATGAATATCTGATTAAGAAATAGTCAAACGATTCAAATAGTAAACATGTTGAATATTCATTTTTAGGGGAAGGAAATCAGTCTAATTGGAAACAGTACAATTTTGTAAATTACATTTGCAAAGCACCTTATTGTATCCTCACAGCCGCTGTGTGAGGTAAGTAATGTAGATATTCTTACTTGTACCTAATAATAGGGAGGAACACATAAATTAAGTAGCTTGCTCCAGTTTTTGGAAGTAATTCAGTTGTTCCTATTCCTAGACTAGTCTTTTTTCTACTAGGTCAGTGGTCAGCAAACCTCGGCTCACGAGACACATGCAGCTCTTTGGCCCCTTGAGTATTCTAATGCCACTTCTTCAAAATAGACATGCCCCGGCCGAAAACTGACTTCTGCACATCGACCACAAAGTGCCCACAATTGGTATTTTGTGGAAGAGCCACACTCAAGGGGCCAAAGAGCCACATGTGGCTCCAAAGCCATGGTTTGCCGACCACTGCGCTAGGTCAATGTCCTTATTCAAAGTCTAGTTCAAAACCACCTTCAGGATCTTAAAAATAAAGCCACATAAATTCCACATACATAAAACATACAGAGCATAGCTATAAAAAAATGCTTAATTAAACAACATTGCCACTTTGTGCATAAGAGCGATGGAATCTGAAATATTAAATGTTACGTGTAGAAATTAAGAACCTCCTGATTACCTGAAATCTCTTTAATGATGAGGCTATGAGGTATGAGCTTTTGCTGAAGATATTCATAAACATTGGTGATTAACGAGTGTAATTCCCAAGCACTTAGGAAGACAACCATGTTGAATACTGTCTGATGTAAAAACATAGTATTATATACATCTTGCTTGCCAAGTAAGTTCACCTGAAAAAGAAAGATCTTTCTAGAATTGAAGTTTTTAATTAAGTACTCAAGACCAGGGCTGTGTAGTGTGAGCTAGTCCAGCTATATTGCTTAAATGGAAAGATTTAATACTGGCCACGAAGATGGATGGATTCTGCCAGTAAAAGGAACCATAGCAGTTGAATAAAGCAGTAGGAACCTTTTAGTCAACTGCATGTAGTACACAGCTAATAACATTTTTCCATTCTGTGTATTGTAGAGTACTCACAGGAGGGTGAGAATGGCAAAATAAAATGAACTTGAAACATCATAAATGCATTTTTTGGCAACATTCATACATTATGCTGCCTTTTAAAGCATGTTTCATATTCAGCTTAGAGAGTTTTTAATAGAATATTTTTTTAATATGGTCATGTATAGATCATTTATTTTTTAATCTAACAACATATTTAAATTATATTTCTATGTAATGAACTCGACTGTTTTGTTCTATTTGTGAATTTGAAAGTTGCCATAACTAGATAATAAAGTCCTGTTTGAAGTTATTAGATTTAATTTCATCTTCCTACAAATTAAATTACTAAATTTAATAAATAAAGAAAGATATTGATTTTGTAGGGACCAGTGTTACCAAGAAGTTTTTCTAAGGGTAGGTGAATTCTACTGACTTCAGAAAACACTAGTCTTTTATTAATTATGTGGAATATAAAACAGACTCAAAAATAAGTATTAGTGATGTAGGTGTTACCAAAGCAGAATAAATGATGGACAACACTTACTTGCTTTCCACATCTATGTGTGATTCAAGAGCATATTTTTATGTTTACCTTCTTACCAAATATGACAAATAAGTTCTGCTCTACTGAATTAGCTACAAGCGAGGCAAACTTGGGTGGAAGTATGCATTTACTGTGGAGATGACACAAGTTTGATACTATAATAAGACATATAAGCTGGGAGCATGGGAAGGCACAACATGAGTTAAAAGAGTACCTATTGATCTCCCTTGGCGAACAATTCATTTTACCTAAAAAGCCACCATTAAGAACCCCAAATCTCCTGGCTTTTTCTCTTCAAGAAAAGGTGGATCAGGATATAAACACCAGAAATTGAAGTTGGTTATCTTTCTGTATCTTAAAAGATGTAGATAGTTACTCTTAAGTCTAGGATAATTCACTCAGAAATTGTCATATACGTAATATCTTTCATGGGAAACATTTATACTGTACTGATAGTTACTATTTTTATTATTATTTCTGTTTGTTAGTTTTTTGTTATTTGTTCTTGTAATAGATATTTTCTCCATAAAGATTTTCATAAAACTATCTCTTTAATCTTATGTAACCCCTCTGAGATTTGAACTACTAGATCTAATTTGCAATCATCCATTCTCCACTCTCTGTATGCAATTACTTTTCCATAAAAAAATATAGTTAAAATGATGCATAGTATTAAAGCAGCTGTACTAATCACTCTGTGGGAAGAGGTTTTATGAATAATAGACCATGTCCATCCTGCTGATTTAGTACTTAAAATGTTTTTGAAATCAGCTTGAAGATCAATCACTATATCTGATTAGATTATACATGGTAGTATAAAGTTGGCTGAAGGAAGATCTGGTAAAAGGAAATAATCCCTTAGAAAAAAGGACAAAATAAAATCATATTAATGTCACAAAATAGTTAAATTTCAACACATCAACTGTATTGAGTTGGAAGAAACACCTGTAGCACTTAAATTATTATTTATGTGTAAACTGGTTTCACTTCTTCTGCAGGAAAACAGTTGTATGCCCCATCATTGATGTGATTAGTGATGATACCTTTGAATATATGGCTGGGTCAGACATGACTTATGGGGGTTTTAACTGGAAACTGAATTTTCGTTGGTATCCTGTTCCCCAAAGAGAAATGGACAGGAGGAAAGGAGACAGAACATTACCTGTCAGGTATGTAGATGCTATCTTCCTAGGTTAACATGTGCGTTCCTGTAATAATTCAGAAGTATTATAAATTTGTGTTCTAATTTTTAAGTCTTTAAAAGTCAGATATTTTCCTCCATACACACATATGTGTCATCATCTTTTACACTATTATCTAAGAATCAATGGCTATATTAAACCTGGTTTAAATTAGCATTGGGAGAAGTAGCCAAATTTCTTTTGAAACTTTGTATATCCTTATATTAAAAATATATTTATTGTTCATTTTCTGTGTGACATATATGTACTAGCCTTGCCAATTAAGGTAGATATATACCTCACCAAAATGTATATGTGTTATAGTACAGGTGTATCCAAAATTAAAATAATTTAAGAAATGTTTTAGTAAATATTCTAAATTTACTTGAAGAGCTATCTTCCAGGCAGACACAAGAGAAATATCCATTTAGTCAATTTTACTATATTAATAATTATGAAGGATTTATTTGTTCCAAGTCATTGAAAATAGATACTTAGTTTGAAATATTTACTCATAAAATACGTTTTCCTTAATAAAAAATGAGAAATATATGCATCTTTAATTTTCTAGATAGTAATTGCCTACTTTATGAACATAAAATTGTTACCTACTTACTTTAACATATCATTGTGTACTTCTTAACTGCAATAAAAATTTTATTTTCTGGATAATATTTTATGGAAGGATTCACTAGTTTAGCTCTTTAAAGATTTATTTGGCAAGTCATCATTTAGTTAGAATAATAGAGAAATACCCTAACATTCTAAACCAATATTTGTAGCCTATTATCTAAACAAGAATGTTTCCTAACCTAATGAAGGATTGACTTATCCATTGGCAAGATTAATTATGTAATGAATTAATTAAAACTAACTAACAATTCACTAATAGAAGGAAACAACTCTAATTGTTATTGAACAATTAAATTTGAGGCTGTTAACCCTCTAAAGGAGGTAGTACTACATCAAAGAGGAAAAAATATGTGTCTACTAATAATTGCATAAAGATGTGAAATTACTACATATCAGCATTTAAAGTGTGATTTAGCAGCCCTGAAATCTTGCAGTAATCTGTACATTCACCAAGTCTTATTGATCCTTGCCTTTAATGATTTGAGAAAATACAGTATCTCATATTACTATTGTTTATTAGAAATTCTGTTTCCCCACATCATGGTAACAGTTAGTGTTAGCTGATTTTTCAACTTCAGATCCCAAGTGAAAACTATCAAAATACTTGAAAAATACACTCAAATATAGATGTGTTTATTCATTTGAAAATGAAGTAATAAAGAATGTGTTTTGTGTTTATTTTTTAAACATTGATCATGGAGGTAATAGGATTGTAATCCAGCATAGTCTGAAACTGTCCACCAGGTACACTGCCACTGGGGCCTCCTGGGAGGTGCAGGATCAGCCACCATCTGTGCCCTGCCTGGGACCACCTGACACTAGCTATAGAGTGATCTTCAGATGGTTGCTACTTGTTTGGGACTTGAAAGTGCCCAGGAGAGGCCATGATGCAAGCCAGGCCATATTCCTGATAGTGTCAGGACCAGGATCACTTAGTAAGAGACATAGGTCATTCAGAGAACGGTTGCTGCTTATTTGAGAGATAGTAGAAAAGGCTAAATCATGAGGCATTAGAGACCATTTGTATGGAAAAGCCACTGTTCATGGGTTGGATGGGCCCACAAATTGGGTGGAGCAGTGTATCAAGGAATCAGCAAGGCTGAGCTAATAGTGTTAACCAGGTGGATGGAAACTCAGATATGGCACCCACCTGCAGCTCTGTGGGGAAAGGGCTCATCACAGAACAATGGCCTCTGCTGGCACTTCTGTCTGGGAGAAACCTGTACCAGAACCTTGAGCTGGGAAGTCTGTGTGAGGCCAAGAACTCTTGCTCCTTAGCATATACCTTTCTGGCCAGAATTTCTCTCTTGATTTTTAATGGCCACACGTGGGGGTAAGACCATTCCATTCTGTGTCTCTGCCCCTCCTAGAAGTCTTGATGTGGCTTCTTCTGTATATATTTATTTAAAGGACTTCTGTTCAGCTAGATTTTGGGTAGTTATGAATGATGATTGTTTTGTAATTCAGTTGTAATTTTGATGTCATTGTGGGCAGTTCCAAGTGCCATATTTACCTATGCCACCATCCTGACCAGAACCTCCCTTTATTTTCTCACAGAGAGAAAAGATAGATAATTAAATGATAGCCAACATTCATCATAATTTACTGATCTCATTCATGAAAGAAAAGGTTTATGTAGAAATTGGACATTATCTCTCATCTTTTATTAATTAAAACATAAGATGAAATAGCCTACTTGCTATATTTATGTGGCTTTATTGTAGTAACACGGAGAGCTAATAAAAACTAAGTATATTTCATTTGTATCCTCCAGTAACTGCACAGCATTTTACTCTTTAAATTGCTGAAGGAACTGGAGCAAAAAAAAAAAAAAAAGCTATCTTTGCTGATGTTTCTAGATATTTATGGCAAAAGGTTAATTAATGCATGGGTTATGTTGTAACAGCCTGCAGGTAATTTTCATCAGCATAGCTATCATGTGAACTTTCTTTGTACATTTAATCTATTACTTGAAGATGTGATCATTTTTCTCACATTTAGGCAAACACATTAATCATTCTAGGTGTTGAAGACATTTTTTTTCTTATTTGATTAATAGAATTCTGAATAGCTAAAGTGATTAAAATGAGGTTGAAATTTTAGTTTTCTTAGTGGAATATTTCTTTTAAAATGTCAGTTAAGAAAGAACTTCCTACTTACTATAATTTGCTAATTTAGTCATCATTTAAAAATATAATCAAGCCTCTTGTATATAGAGAACCAATTTGAACTTGTGACCTAACCTTAGTTATACCACTTTTAAATTAAAGTTTATAATTGTTATTATTATTCTCTTGTCACTTCTAGGCTTTGATATTTCAATTTGATAATAAATGGAGTGTGTGAAATACTTGGTATTGGTGAAGTTATGAGAATGGAATAATAGCACATTTAACCCCTATTATTTAGTTTTCTTCAATCTGTAAACTCCCCTTAATATTTTAGTTGTTAAATTATGTGACTTTTTAGGAATATGTCAATTATAAGTGCAACAATCGAGTAATCAAATTGTTAAACCAGAGGTCATATACCAGGAGTTTGCATGTCAAATATGCCCTGTAGGTGAATTTTGCTTGGCCTACATAGTGTTTTAAATTTTAAAAATTACCACCACAAAAAAAAAAGAAAGAAAGAAAGAAAGAAAGAAAGAAAGAAAGAAAGAAAGAAAGAAAGAAAGAAAGAAAGAAAGAAAAAATGTGTTTTTTTAAAAAAAATCTGGATTTTCAGCTTTTCTTGAGAGTCAGAATGGTCCTCGGTACCTAATTGGCACCATCCAGTGGAGTTGAGTAGAAGCTGTCCCTATAGAAGTAGCATGAAAGTGTAACATAATCCCTCTGTGTGTGTGTGTGTGTGTGTTTGTGTGTGTGTCTGTGTGTGTGTGTGTCTGTGTGTGTGTGTGTATCCCTGATCCTGAGGCTAAGGACCAGTTGTTGCCATTTGTCATCATTCTTATACTTGGAAAAATATTTCTCTGTACCTGTTTTCCAACCAAAGGTGAAATAAATATGCTTATTACAACTAATCAACTCCATATATCAATATTATTTACCTGACTAAAGTCTTTTTAATTTTTGACTTTTGACTTAAAGGAAATGACTACATTTTAAAAATTAATCAAGTTAGCCTTGTATGGGTATACATATTCATAACCTCATGGAATAGCAACTAGTAGCATAAATTATCTGGTAGTGCAGATAATCTCCCGAATCATTTAATTAGTTTGGGGGATGTATGTTTCCAGTACAGGTAACTTTTGAGTTGATTTGGTTCAGGCAATTGGAATGAGTTTGATTTCAGATGCAAATACACATTGTGCTCCATGCTAGGTTTTGTGCATACAAAGAGTAATAAAGCGTCCTGTGCTTTAAAGTTGCTCACTCTCTGGGAAGGGTCATATGTATGTTGAATAAGGGAACTAGACCAGCATATGCAGTCAGAGCGTGGCCACACAGGAGTTAAACTATGCCAACTGCTAGAGTTGTGTAGCTTCGGGAAAAGAATCCACCTCTATTCTTTTTTTTTTTTTTAATATATTTTATTGATTTTTTTTTACAGAGAGGAAGAGAGAAGGATAGAGAGTTAGAAACATCTATGAGAGAAATATCATCGATCAGCTGCCTCTTGCACACCCCCTACTGGGGATGTGCCCGCAACCAAGGCACATGCCCTTGACCAGAATTGAACCCGGGACCTTTCAGTCCGCAGGCCGACGTTCTATCCACTGAGCCAAACCGGTTTTGGCTCCACTTCTATTCTGATTCATAACTTTCATCTTTTAGTTATGCCTTGTAAGTAATCCTCAATAGTTATAATGATATTTCTTTCCACTTTCATTTCTTAATTATTAAAATAGATATCTTTACTAGGAAGGTATAGGTTATTTATCAATCCTGTTTAATTTTTTTTAATCCTTCTTTTCTTATTTTATAGACTTTTGAGTTTAGTTATTATTAATAATCTTAATAAGACTTCTTTCATTTTCACTTAGTGTACCATTTTCATTATCTTCCTAAAGCAAAATAAAATAATTATATATATATTTTAATTCTTGCTACCATAATAAATCAAACATAGATATAATTATGAATTTTCTCTTTCTGGCACATTTTACTTTGATATCCCTTTTAGTAACATGTGACTGATCTCTTACATTTATTTTTCTTTCAAAGAAAGAAATTTATAAAGAAGAAAAAAATTAATAGTGTTCTTAATAACAGCTCAAATGACAGTTATTGTTCCTTTATTGGGAAAAACTCATAGAAATTTTACATATCTATTTCTAGCATCTTTATAGTATGACATTACAGAAGAAATATTAAAGCTGGCTTTGAAGAATCTGGGTTTTATTTCAAGCT